TATTCCAATTTTAAGAATTTTTTTCATATGCTGGTAGTCAAAATGTAGTTGAAAACGTTAGACCTGCCTGACAATATCTGACTGAATATCAAACCTGACAGAAAAACCATTCTTTGGGAAAAGTTAACTCACATCTACCACTTTAACCAATGCAATTTAAAATCAGAATGTTAATCTTCTTTCTGAACACAGTAACATTGATGTACACAATGTGTAAGTGTTCTAACATCAAAACATGCTTTCAGGCCAGTTGTGCAACATGTTTATAAAATAAATAACCAGTTATATATGTGTACATTAAAGCGGGAATGCTTCATGGATGATCTGAAACACTAAATACAGTCACTGGGATAGCTGACGACAAAAATCCTGTTAAAATTATACATGACCAAATAAATATTACTCTGACTTAATTAATCTTAAATGCCTTTTTTTATCACCTTTTATTTCAAAATCTAGGATGATGTACAAATATCTGTGTGTATCTTTCAAGTGATTTAACCAATCACTAAATTGTAGGTGACATACACCCTTAAATCAGGGTCCAAAGGCTCAATGCTCCAGTGTACTGTATAGCAGTTTTTCTAGATGCAAATTCTTACTTTTATTCAGAAAACTGAGCTGTAAACTGAATGGCTGATTTATATAATCTGCAAAGTTCTGCAGAAAATTCATACCCAGAGCAACAATGATTTCATAAGACAGAATTATGACTAGTTCAAAAAAAGCATTACACGAGGCCCATGGGGCCTGCCTCGCTCACCTGGCTAATTCAGTTATTCAGTTACTTCCTTTCAAATATGACGATTAATTTCCCTATTTGGACCCAGGCCTTGAACAAACTTGGACAATTTCCTTGTTAGAAGGAAGGATTTTAAGAACTGTTGTTTCCCTTATTAGGCATCATATCTCTGATGTCAGACTTATTTGATGAAAAATTAGGTTCCATTCAATTAGGTATGTTTCAGACTAAAACAGAACAGAAATAGGCGTTCCCACATTTCCTCTATTGTCGCTACCTGGTCCCACCCTAGAGAGCCAAATCCCACCATTTCTACAAAATTGCTTCCCCTTCACCCAAATATGCTTCCGACCACTTCTCTTCTCCCACCCCAGAGGGCCAAGCCCCATTATATATACAAACTGATTCTACTTCACACAAGCATAGTTCAGACCAAACTAGGACAACACTAACACATTCCTACAGAAGGATTTCAAATAAATTTCTCTATTCCATTCATGACTTGTAGAGATTTTAAGTGAAAGTCGACGGATGCCAGACCATGACATAAGCTCACCAGTCCTTCAGGCCATGTGAGCTAACAAAAACTCTACTCAACATTTAACGACATTTAATACTGCAGTGATATCAACATAAGCTAAGCCTTGAAAAACATCTGGAAATCCTTAATACATGAAAAAGGTAATGACTTAGAATATAAATACATTGTATAAATCTGAATAAAATCAGAATGTATCTTTCTATCTACAATAAATTTCCTCTGTAACAGCCTAATGTACAGACAAATGTTATATAACTCAATCTCCAGTTGTCCCGTTTGGCAGAACATAGTCTCCATTTTGAAAACTGCCAGATTTCTACTCCATTAATATACACAGGTTAGTTTTACAGAAGACATAAATTACTGAAAATATTAAAAGCATTAAGAATGAAAGATTATGAAATATTGTTAACATAGTCTAGGCATAGTCTAATTATAGTGGAGACAGAAGATAGTACCGTGCCTTAAATTAACTTTTGAGATACATGCAATGTGAAGGACGAATTCCCTGTTTAATACTTGTCATAGATGTACAATTTACCTAAAGGAACACTGGTGCTACTAGAATACCTAATCACTGATTTATGTGCTGAAATTAATTTTCCATAATGATATAAAGACAAATGAATCTCCTTTCTTTGGCAATAAATAAAGTCTCAAATTCCACTCACGAAAATTCTTACTTAAACAATTTTTAAAATATTTCACATTTGACATAATTTTTAAAATCATACACAACAAAAATTAGGATGAAAACATAATGTATTGATGATTCCAAAGCACCTGAACTTACAATTCTTATTGTAACAACATCCAGATAATATCCTACATGGGCTTAAATGTTTTAGACTAACAAGTAAGGCACTGACATATGTTCCTGCGGACAAAAACAGTTCCGCCAACAAAGTTCAAACATCAACAAACTTCAACAAGTCAAAACACAATTTCAAACAGGCTTCCTAGGGCAGCATAAATAGCTTTATAAACCTTCACAATCTCAGCCATATCAAAACAGCACAAAATAGGACTTTTCAAGTATTAGTAGTCCCATATAGCCCTCACTCATATATCAAACAAACCTTTTAATCTAAAATATGTCACAAAGCTATAAATTCAGAGCCCTATATTGCCTCTCATAAGCAAAGTAGATGAACTTTAGCACAAGAAAAGTTCATATACTGCAATCAAACTTTAAGGTTGCACTAGATTACAAAGTACTGTGTACTTTGTATCAATAACAAAAAGTTTCAATCAGGGGCAGTAACTCTACCCAAAATCTTAATACTCTTGAAACTGGCCACACATAGACATTAATATCAAACAGGTCAGCTGTTTTGTAGGTAACTTTGCAAGCCTCATTTGGTCCATATTACATGTAATACATTCAACATTGCATCAAAGACAACAAATGTCAAGAAAACGTCTAATGGACTTGTTTAAATGAAATCCTATAACCATTTATACTTGGCATGGTAAATAAAATGTCTTTAACATTAACAAGAGAATGAGTGTTCTGACAAAAATCTATAGGAAATTTATAACAGGTGAACTAACACAGCTAACAAATATTAATGTAATATTTACAGTACCTTGTCAGACCTAACTGTAAATCACTTATATTTTGCATTAATATCCCAGTAAAGTCAATCATGAATCCAAATCCCTCCCAATCACAGGTTCCCCGTCTTAAATAACTCCTCATTCATGAAATTAAGGTAATTTCTAGACCAGCATTTGCGAAATAAATTATTATGCGAAACCTAAATGATTTACAGTATCTGCTGACAGTAAAAATACCTTTTAATATTATGACAATCAATATATATCATATCTGTTACATTTTTCATAAATTGGCATTTTTTTTAATGTTGTAAGCAGTCTCATTTTAGTACATTATCTAAATGAAGCAGTTAGTGGTATATAATTTAACTGATAAATTATGATTTTGAAATTTTGCTGTACTCAAAGGGTTTCTTAAATCCTTTCTTGATTCCTGTATAGAATTACATGTACAGTCACTGGATTTTTAAATGTGTTCATGTGATTTATAGTATTGTAAATGACACTGATATATCTTTGTTCAAGTTTGATTAGAATAGGTAAAATTTATACAACATGCTAATTATATATAAATGATTATTTGTAAACAATACTGAAGTACAAGGTAAACAAATACGAGAGAAAATACAAGGATTTGATTTTTCATAATTACTTAGTACATGATTTAATGTGAAGAAAGCATTAACAGGGTTTTAATATTTTCTGAATAAATTTAGCACTGAAGTACATATAAACATCAAAAGAGAGAAAATTTAATCCTAGTTTTTACATTTTATACAGATAAACACCAGTTTTCACATTTTATACAGATAAACATCAGTTTTCACATTTTATATAGATAAACACCAGTTTTCACATTTTATATAGATAAATAGACTGAAACAATATCTACATGAAAATCAATCATAGCTTTGGTGTTCATTGTCTTCATAGCACCTACATGTAATATATAAGTAAATTCAGAGAGTAATTCTGTCAAATTATCGCACATGCTGGTTTCCATCACTGCTGAATATAGCAAAAAATCTGTGGCAGGTGCCAGTTGTAGGATAAATTAATAAAGTATAGAACTTTTTTCCAAATCTATCACACCTAATTGAGGTGGAGTGTGCCACTTAAATCACATGCTAAGAGTGTTCAACAATCAACATCTCTGATATCAACAAAAATGATAAAATTCTGAGGAAATGTTAACTCCCCTTCAAAGTTATCAATCTTAAATTCAGAGTTTCCAGTTATTATCTATAAACATCAGGTTAATAATTGTAAGAAATAAAATTGCAGATAAGGAAAAGTATATATTTTGTAGTCATAAACTGACTTACATTGTGCGAATATTGTCTAAAACAAAAATAAAACTCTCATAAAAAGCTACCGGTAAAATACATTGCTGGTATAACAAACAAATATACATAAAAAATACAAAACTAAACACAACATTAATTTACTGTATATAACAGGTGATTAGCCTATGCTTGGTAATAAGCCCACCCTCATAACTAAGAGTTCTTTTGACACATGTAGTGTCAACTTCCAAAATAAAAATACCAACTAAAATCCCTTTACAGTAAAACACGTTTATAATGAATTGATGACATATAATATATATATAATATTTCATCTGTATGTAAAATTCCTATATATAACAAATATCACGTAACGAACCAATGCCTAAACGTACCTATCATTAAGAAATAAGTCAGTTTTTGTAACATTGTGTCAATATTTCCTGTAACAAATTATGCATGTTTTTTTTAATTTGTATAAAGCAAACAATGCTTATAACAAAATAGTCATTTTAGTGCCGAGAGATTCATTATAAACGTGTTTTACTGTACCCGTATCCAATGAGTAAGATTCCCTGGGCTTTTTATTGGTAAACTGGGGATACCAATATAACATGTACATATGCTCTGTTCAGACATCGAATGTTCAGAAACCTTTCTCTCTAAATCTTTTTTTCTCTCTCTCTCTCTAAATCTGAGTGTTGATATTTAAAACTTATTTATAATATCCGTTAATAATTCTTACACTCAATTTTTTTTTATTTGTAATATTTTCCTTTCTGAGATTCTTTATTAAGATTTAATTTTACGAGATTAACATTTCATTGTTAACAAAGTAATTGTGATAGAAATGTCTCTAAATTCTGGAATAATGAAAAAAAAATATAATATAAAATGGAAAAGAAAACAACGATAAGAACTGAGAGTTAAATGCACATGCGATAAAAATAAGCATACTTGATGGTGTTGATGATGTTGTGTCTAAGACTTATCAGCCGATATAAAACATTGCAGAGTGGACCAGATTCTCTGTACTATAATTCAGTGACATACCATTTCTGATAAAAATATTTCTGTCAAACAAATGAAATTTTAAAGTCTTTAACATAACCATCAATAGGTAAGATAGCAGCTGACCTTATAATTTTCAGAATAAAAATTTTGTTACTTGTGCAAAAAAACTCGATATAACTGAGGTAAATTTTCTAGTGAGTATTTCCTTTTGGTTTCATAAGTCCACAAGGTGAGAGTTTGTAGTCTGGTCCCAGAGTTGGTCCTCTGATATGTAACAAGGGATCTGTTGTAATGTCTCTAGGCAGTGTGCTGAAGTGCTTGGCCAAAACCAAACCCTTTTGGTCCGAAATGCTTCCCATAGCAAGCTGTCAAAATAATAATAATAATAATAAAAAAAGGCATGAAGGCATCAATTTTGTAAGAAAAATAACAAGTGTTCTTTGTTGTAACAACATGTTTGTCCAGCAGGTGCCAGTGGCATTATTTACATATGTTCTGTGTTACAAACTACACTGATATAAAGTCACAGAGCCAATTTTTAACAATTTTTTCTATTAGATTCACATATCAGCCGCATCAGAATATAAGCCACACCCTTTCTTACGCTTGAACCATTATGTTTTTTCTTTCGTTCTGTTGATTTTTTGTCCAGCTGTGCCTGTATATAAGCTGCACGCCCTAATGCCTAGGGAAAAAGCTACGGCTTATAATCCGCAAAATACAGTAGGGATTGAAACAATGCTTGCTTTTCATGAATTCCCAGACTCTGTTCTGATTTATTACAACATTATACACACCTTTACAGAAAATACTTCCATCATTTTGTGTCAGTGTTGTGGAATCAAGGTTCTTTCCACATGCAGAGCACTTAAAGCAGGCCTTGTGGTAAGTCTGAAATACAGAGCACAGAGCATTTAAAGCAGGCCTTGTGGTAAGTCTGAAACACAGAGCACAGAACACTTCAAGCAGGCTTTGTGTAAAATACAGAGAAAACTAAAAGTCCGACAGACAGGTGTGGATGATATAAATTTACTGTCAACACAATTTCACCCCTTTATATATTAATGCAGACAATATATAAATGTGGCACTGTATACTGGACAGTTATGTAATTTCATGGCTAATATTTCTCAGAAGTTTGTGCTAGTTCACCAGGATAACATGCATGTCTTTAATTGGTATCTGTGTTAACAGACATATAACACATTAAAACATTTTGATGGATTATAAAAATGCTTGCTGGGAATTTGATTTTACTGTGTCTTTAATGACCATAAGCAAAATTTAACTCCTAACGAATATTACAAACAACAGAGCAGATAATATGGAACCGCCAGGAGAGAATATTGTTAAACGTTCCACATTTGAAATTTCACACCCTGCAATTAGGTTATTATCACCACAAAAGTTAATAAAAGAATATAAAGCTTGAGAAGACAAGACATTTCTACTTAAAAGAAAAAATTTCAACATGGTAGATATACAACTTAACAGTGAAGGATAAATATTTCATAAATGAAGATTCCAAATATTAAGTATTTAAAGGCTCCAGAGAAGAATGTGTTTCAGCAAATTTCACCACTTTAATGAAGGAAAAGCCACCTACATTTCCCCCTCCAATGACCTGCTCAGCAAAGTACACCTGCTTGCCACACCGACCACACAACTCTGCACCACCATATTTGGATTGCTGGATGTTTCCCTCTATCAGAGGGGCAGCCTGTGCCATTGCCAGTCGTGATACATTCCTGGAGAAACAACAAATATTCCTGGTTAATAAACATCCAATAGGAGACATAATCATAACTTTCTTCTTTCCTAAAACTGAACAAGATGGCTCCGGCCTTTACCAGTCATCTGACGACAACAGATGGATGGACGGACCACAGAATTTTTGCTGATGGTTGTATTACAAATTTGAAGAATTCAAATTCTGCACATTCCTTGAATGTATCAGAAACCAATATATGATAAATTTTATTAATAAAAAAAACAGTTGTGCAATTATGTTACAAAATGGCTAATGTGCCTACCATATCAAAGTTTTGACAAGCCTTAAAAATAACAACATATCACATATCATCTGTTTCTTTTCCTTAACAAATGAAACTTCAAAACAGTTTCTCAATGGTGCAAATGAAACTGAAGAAGTTCACATTATTTATTCATGACGACTTATATTGGATTTTGGACCAAACCAAAAAGTAAGATTTGGTCAGGACAATCTCAGGACCACTGATATTACAGGCATTCTCTAGTAATATTTCAGACCTAATATGGGTGTCAAATCTACCCTGGAATTAAGAAGGAACAGCGGTTTAGAGCAAAATATTGCCTAACTTCCCATTTTGGGCCCTTTCCTTCCCTTTTTGGGCCCTTTCCTAAAGTCTATAGGGATCAAATCAAAAGTAAAACAAGGAGTTACTTCCTGTTTTGGGGCCCCACATCAAGTCCCTAGGGGTCAATTCAACATTTTAAATACAAGGAATTGCTATGTGTATTCTTTTCCATTGAAATGCTACTGTTTCTACAAGCTTTGATGGATTTCAACCAAATTTGGTCTGATGCATCATTGGTGAGGGCAGTTATATGTGCTATACATAATGTTAATTTGACCCCCTAGGGACCTGGGGACAGGGCCCCAAAAGGGGAAGTTAGACAATATTTAATGCTACTCTATCTTATTTTCTTGATGGATTTTAACCAAAGTTTGTCAGAAAAATCATTTAGAGAGGGCAATCATTTCCCATATTCAAAATGTTGATTTGATCCCTAAGGACCTGGAGACCGTAGAAAATGGTAGACAGCAAACAGATGACAACTAACAATGGACAACGAACAACCTTTTGGGTCAGATGACCTCAAAATTCCATTGAATCCTAGTAAGACTTTTAAAAGATGAGGGTCAGGTCCAGTATCTTCTCCATATCTGTATGATTGATTGATTGACAGGTTTTCCGTCTCCATGACACCTCCCATGTCCGGGTATCGTCTCACCGACGAACGTCAGTGTTCTGTCGACTGTTAGTTGGTTGACAGGTTTTCCGTCTCTGTGATTCCTCCCGGTGCCGGGTATCGTCTCATTGATGAACATCAGTGTTCTGTCGACTGTTGGTTGGTTGACAGGTTTTCCGTCTCTGTGACTCCTCCCGTGTCTGGGTATCGTCTGACCGACGAATGTCAGTGTTCTGTCGACTGTTGGTTGGTTGACAGGGTTTCCGTCTCCATGACACCTCCCGTGTCCGGGTATCGTCTCACCGACGAACGTCAGTGTTCTGTCGACTGTTAGTTGGTTGACAGGTTTTCCGTCTCTGTGATTCCTCCCGGTGCCGGGTATCATCTCACTGATGAACATCAGTGTTCTGTCGACTGTTGGTTGGTTGACAGGTTTTCCGTCTCCGTGACGCCTCCCGTGTCTGGGTATCGTCTCACCGACGAACGTCGGTGTTCTGTCGACTGTTGGTTAGTTGACAGGTTTTCCGTTTCCGTGACTCCTCCCGTGTCCGGGTGTCGTCTCATCGACGAACGTCAGTGTTCTGGCGACTGTTGGTTGGTTGACAGGTTTTCCGTCTCCGTGACTCCTCCCGTGTCTGGGTATCGTCTCACCGACGAACGTCAGTGTTCTGTCGACTGTTGGTTAGTTGACAGGTTTTCCGTTTCCGTGACTCCTCCCGTGTCCGGGTGTCGTCTCATCGACGAACGTCAGTGTTCTGTCGACTGTTGGTTGGTTGACAGGTTTTCCGTCTCCGTGACTCCTCCCGTATCTGAGTATCGTCTCACCGACCAACGTCAGTGTTCTGGCTACATATATATGTATGACATTTGGCACAATATATGTCATATATACCTGAAACATTTTTCTGCTAAGGGATGTTATAAATCATTGAAAAAAAACGCTTGGCCCAGCGACCACTGACAAGTGCTTCAATTTACATCCCTTCACTACTTAATAAATGTTCATATGAAATTACAATAAATGTTATCTATGGTCACCTGGTGTTGGAGGGCAACTTTTGATAAATTCTTTGCTCTAACATTCCAATTGAATTTCCAGACCCTTACCCTAGAGTTACTTACTCTGTAGTTATTTCCCCTGCTCGGCCTGTGTCCATGGATAGTCCAGATGCTCCCCCAGCAAAACCATAGCCCTTTGGGCCAAACATTCGGCCATAACATGCTTTACAATATGCTTCTCCATCATGGTCTGTACAGGTGGTGCTGTCCAGCATTTTATTACAGTTCGCTGAAAGATCATCAACACATTTTTAAACTGCATTTGGAGGTTGTTGTTAATCAATATCACTTAGTTGAAAAACACGATTTTTTAAAAAGAATTTCCTACCACTCACCACATTTAAGACATAATTTGTGCCACTTCCTGCCATTAGCGCGGGCCTCTTCTGCAAAGAATACTGTCTTTTGACATCGTGGGCATTTCTCACCACCACCAAACCGATTTCCACCTCCACCGTTTATAACAGGGGCAGCCTGGGCCTGGGCATAGTGCGAGACATTGCTGAAAAATATAAAAAAAACAATTACAGATAACTCTAGGGAGAAAAGGTAGCGAACTCTTGCATTCTTATTGGGAACATTAAATGTTTATCAAATGTTCATTTTAATATTTCTTCCAATCTATTATACTTTCAAATTAGTGTAGCAAGTGTTGGTGAACCCAATCAGAATGTCCTCTAGGGCATTACAGGACTTGGAAGCATCACTCACTGCAGACTTTAACAGGAGCAATTTTCGCCTTGGCATAAAATATTGTATGTAAATTTATTTTTCCCTGTAAATCCATTAATTAAACAAAAAATTAAAAGGGTCATGACCTTTAACCTTTTATCTCGAAAGAGAATTTCAATTATTTCCACTTCCCAAAAAGGAAGTTTTTATCACTACTTCATTCTACTATTAGATTCAATATTGATGCAGAAATGTATTTATTTTCTATAAATATATAATTACAAATGTACCATTTATAAGTACAGAACATCATGTACATGTCACCATGTTTTTCCCCAGCATTATAAATGCTGAACCACTGACCATTATCAGTTATGTATAAGTCAAAAAGATAATTTCTATCACAAATTAAGCTAGTTAGTAACCAAAGCATCTGTCCTGCACAAACAGGAAACATGGCTACTTTCAGAGCCATGGCAACTATCAATGTGGCAAGATCTGCAGCACCAGCATGCAGAGTCTAGTGCACCATATATCAACAACACATTCACATGCTTACTTACACAGCTATCCGAAACACAAACATCTTCAAATGTTTGTTAAGGATATCAAACAAGATAAGCAAAAACAAAGTTCCTTTCAGTTCCCTTATCTTCAATGATAAATGAAATAAATAAAAATCCGGGAGAGCTCTGAAGCCATACACAGTTTCCACTTTGTATACTTAAATTCACTATGTCAAAATGTTTGTGTAGATTTATTGTCCCACAAACAGCTATGGTCACTCCATGCTGGGTCTCCATGTCGGAGCTGGTGACTTCCTCAATGAAGAACGTGCTAGAGGCACATTACATCTTAAGTAATTTGTATCTTGTCCAAGAAACTACCCTGATAATTGTGTTTCTCAGCTTCTTGTGAAACACAAACCTCCATAGGTAAGAAACATCATACTCAAGGATATTCCCAAAGATTACAAAGTTCAGAATCTACAAACTGTGCAATCGCTGCCTTTGTTAGTTCAGAATTCATGCTTTTTATATCAAGCTTCATAAATACAAAGCATTGTTGTGCTTCAAAATCATTTTTATATGTCAAATAACAACATGGTTGAATATACAAATCAGAAATATACTGATTTATCAAAAACACAAAAGAAATTACCAGTTACACAGATAGTCATATAACTGTCTCTTTTACATTGCATGCCATTTTTTTTTTTTTTTTTTGTAATGCAGAGTTATCTGCTCTTATGAGCATATATTTATGGTTACGCCATTAATTTGTGTGAGAAAATCACACCATTTTTTTCTAGATGTTATCCTTACAAACGAATGATGCTTATCCTTACAAACAAATGATGCAACAACCAATACCTGGTCACAAGGGCAGATAACTCTGCATTGCAAAAAAGATGGAATTATTCAACTCTAACAGGAAGAAGCATAGAGGTTAAATCAGGTTAACAATAGTAAACATACAAAAAGACAAGACAGTAAGAAATATCATTACATGTATACCAATGCAAGTTCCAAGATCTACAGAAACAAAAAATGCTTCAGTTAAATTAACAACAAACACCAATCATAATGTAACAGATTTTAATTCATATATTTGTTATAAAACCATGTACAGTATCTTAATTATAACATGTCTCATAGACACAATAACGTTAGAATCATTCAGAATATCACATTAAAATATATTTGTCAAGCAATATGCCGATACTTTGTAATTATCTCACCAATGTATATTGCTGTTTTGAAAATTTATCAACAAATGCCACTTCATTGTCCTGTAATAAGCCCATCCACAAACTTTGAGTTAGAAGTAAGACTTTTGGTCCCCTGTGCTTATTTGCAGGATAATCACAGTTAATCACATACCTATGTAACTGTTCTGTGATGTGACGTAGGAGGCCTATATCACTATGGTTACAAGACAAATATTTGATAATCAGGACATTTAGTTAATTGTTGAAAGTATCTTTTTGACTGAGTTTGAGAGGAAATGTCTATTTCACACACATTTTGACTGTTCAGGTAAGTTATTTGACTTCTGAAATAGTCAAATGTCAAGGCTCAAATGAATTCACTGATTACAACAATATGATAAACAGATGTAGATAACACCACTCTTCTGTATGAAGTAAAAACTCTCCTATATAAAAATATGATAGATTTCTTTGCCTTCCTCATGACTTTGACTTACATCAGTTAAACGTGGATTTTATTTGAACTGGTAACATACTTATGATATTCCAATCACCTAAAGTGTTGTGGCATCAAACTGTTTAACTCATATCAGAAAGAAAACCTTTTTTCGGTCTATCATCTGTTTACCATCTTGTCTCTCTATTTTCAACCTTATGGTACATAGGATTTAATATAGCTGAAAAAGTTGGTCAATTCCTTACCATCTCAGACACTACATACATCAGTGCTAGTTCGCTCCACACTGGTCATTTGTCTGATGAAAGTGACTGTAATGTCGTCAAGACGTCACACTCTAATCCTCTACTTGTTTTGTTATAAGAACTTCTATTCTATTGACATTACCATCCTGTAGAAAATGTTCCGAAATATAAAGAGAATCTCCCTATGATAATTACCTCTAAATAGTAATCACTCATTCTATATAATCTTCCCTCATAATTAGTATTAATTTTTCTCATGTTTTTGTCCAACCTTTTTTTTTTATACTTATATCAAATCACAATATCATGTTAAGTTACAAGTAAACATTTCTATCAACATTATAAACATGCAAATGACTTAAATCATCTTCAATTTAACCTATTTTATAAATTAAATTGAAATTAAATGTACCGTCCGAGTTGCGTATTGATTTAGTTTTCAACCTTTGGAGTAAGTTATTTGAAGCTGAGGACATCATGCGTGTTATAACATTGGACATTTCAGCTATCACAATGCACTATAGGGCTGGTCAAGGCAAACTTTCATCAGTCTTGACAACTAAACTACCATGCTCTCAAGTAAATAACTTCATCACTTTCATAAAGAATAAAGAAAAATGAACATCAGAGGTATAATGTTTTCATGTTTGTACTAAGACAGAATTATGCATGAATTTTTTCAAGAGAGTGTGAATTTGAGGGAAACAAATTTTCAGTACTGACTCAGACCATTATATTCCTCAGCAGTAGGTATTCCTTAAGTATTGTGGTATGGCTTATGGCCTTTTGAATATATACAGCTGTGATCGTACAGTTTTGAAAATGTTAAATTGTTGTAGATATAAAGGTTTATTAAAATCTAATGTAAAAAATGCATTACCGTATTTAACGGATAAGCCGCACCTTCTTAAGTGCATTTAGAAAATTGGAAAAGATTATTTTAATTCTTTAAAAAAAATTTTTTTTGGGAGGTGGTGGGGGGGGGGATAGTTGTTATAAACATGTACATACATGTTAATTAAATTTGTGTACAAGATGAAGTTGAAAAATATCATTGCTCTGTAGCTTCTATGCAAGACCACTATGAAACATTTTAACAAATGCAAACAAATACGTGTATGCAAATGAGTTCATTACTCCAAGGGAATCTCGTAAGGACGTCCCGTATCCATGGAGAGCAGCATAGCTCCGCCAGCGTAGCCGTAACCTTTAGGACCGAAAAGCTTGCCGTAGCAGTTTCGACAAAAAATATCTCCATCATGATCCGTACAAGTGGAACTATCCAGAGGCTTCCCACAATGCCCTGAAATAGTAGGACGGTTGCAGTGCATACTGAGGTATACCAAGTGTTCATATCAAGTTTACAGCAATTTATACAACTGACAACAAGATCAGCTGTAGCTTAAGTCCAATCAAGTCTATAAGTAAAGTTATGACTGAAAAACCAGGGCTTAAAGAGAGTTTCTGGAATAATCAAAACTGGTTTCTATTCAATATTTAATAATACTATGGTGAAATATTTTGTATCATGGCTGTTAAAACAAACTGACTTCAATAGATTGTCCAGGTACATAAAAAGTAATAAATGTGTTTAAACAACTGAAGAGCATGCCTCTGTGTACTTGGGAAATGTACTAGCACCAAGCAGATAATTTGAATACAACTTACCACAACTGAGACAGATTTTATGCCACTTGCGTCCCATGGCACGAACCTCCTCTGCATAGTAGACGGTGTGTCCACAACGAAGGCATGCATCCCGTGCAGCCCAACTGGCCGGTGTTTGGAGCAATGGCGCTGATACAGCCTTAACGAAGTTATTGATTCTGGACATAGCAAGTCAACCCCATCGTCAGATAGTGTGTTTACAAACCCAAATCATGTGGTTCACCAATGTATCTCATACTTAGCAAGACTTACCTTATACAATATCCCAAACTCGCAGTGTAAAACTTACATCAAATAATAACACTTATCTGAATCCTGAACATTTTAACACCCTCACTAATTAACAAAATGCTCACTGGTCAAATGAAAAGACACTTATCAACATAACACAATCTATTGTATGAACTTTTTTTCCCAGTCTATATATTCCACTCACTTACATTTAAATGCTTTAAAAGGAGGTGAAAACAATTCATTCTATACTCAAATTTTATTGAAATTTAATAATTTATTTTATAGTTTTGCCATGTCCTGAAACATCTGCCAGCATCAATTATGTTCAAAAGATCATGTACTAAATTGTTGCATATTTCATGGATGTTTTTTCAAATTAAGTCAGTAGTACAGTTCATTATGTCCATCCCTAAGCCCCAACCTGGCACCCTTGTCCCCTTGAACCCTACTTGGCAGTCCCTGTCCCCCTGCCCTTACCTAGCAGCCCTTGTCCCCCTACCCCTACCTGGCAGCCCTTATCCCCCTGCCCCAACCTAGCAGCCCTTGTCCCCCTACCCCTACCTGGCAGTCCTTATCCCCCTGTCTGGCACCCCTTGTGCCCCTGCCCCTGCCTGGCACCTTTTGTCCCCCTGCCCCTGCCTGGCACCCCTTGTCCCCCTGACCCTACCTGGCAGTCCTAAGCCCCCTGACCGTACCTGGCACCCCTTGTCCCCCTGCCCCTACCTGGCACCCCTTGTACCTACCTAGCAGTCCTTATCCCCCCTGCCCCTACCTGGCACCCCTTGTTCCCCTGCCCATACCTGGCAGCCCTTGTCCCCCTGCCCCTACCTGGCACCCCTTGTACTAATACAGGTATCTTTCAACTGTACATAACTGCATATACTTCTTACCCATCCACCTGTCCATATTTGGTCGTACTGTTGGCAGAAAGGCCTGAAGCACCACCTGCGAAGCCATATCCCTTTGGTCCGAAATTCTTTCCGTAGCAGGCCTTACAAAACGCTTCCCCCTGATGGTCAGTACAGGTAGTACTGTCCAACAATTTGTTGCAACTGGCTGTAAGAGAAGACTAGAGTTACTTCCCCTGTTGTTGGACACAATGCACAGTTAATACTATCTAGTAATTAAAACCTGTTATAGCTAAAGTTGGAGTTATTTCCCCTTGTATTAGTAATGCTTGTCAATGAACAAGTAGACAGTCCATTACACAGGTATGCTGTTGCATCTCGGTAACTACTTTTGGACTATAAGACAAGATAAGTTAATGTCCCTAAAATATTTATATCAATACCTGGTACATATGTTTTGCTTATTTATCTAGCAATCTAATTTGTAACTCTCTGCTTTGTTACAATATGAGAATTATTTCTGGTTAGTCTATTTCACAAATTCCTTATCTAGTAACTAAAATTACTTTCAGCAGTAGGACAAAACCAAGGTAGATCTATCATTAATTTGGAATGTCCCACAGTTTGTAAACTAAACAAACTCTCTTTCTTTTTTTTTCATTTTGGTGTCTAGGTATAGAGACAAAAGACAAAACTTTGACAATGCCATACACTTAAATGGCCCTATATATAGCACAGTGGTACACCGAGTTGCACTAGTGAAAATATTATTAGTAAACCATAAAAATTGTTTTGCTATTTCAATGAGTTATTACGCGTTGTGGATGCTGCCTTACATGTCTTGCTGATAAACACATGTTAATCTCTCTCTCAAGTATCAGATTTCTGGTCTCACACCTGCTCCACCTAGATCAGATATCTGAAACTGATGTTGTAACACCTGTACTGTTGCTATGTAGGGGCTGAAGTGACATCCATATTAACCCTATTACATTGATTTTTTTGTGTGTCCATCTATGTTGGCGACTATGGTCAGAACAGATAAAAAATAGTAGCTTTAAATGTCATAGGAAGTTAACATCATCAGATCTAGATGTAGATTGAGGTTTAGTATATAACACTAGTCAACATTTATGTCAATAAACAGAAGCCATTCAACATTACAAAACATTACTGATGTCCTAAATTAACACCATCTGTAGAATAATGCATATTGTAAAAACCCATGTAATGTGTGGAGTTTTTTTTTAGAAAATGTATGTCCAAATTTGTGAGTGTGTACATTACATAGCTAGGATTTTCAAGTTTCTTTTTCATGGAAAAATCTGTGGGGCCACCATCATTTTTTGTCAGGATTATCTGGTACTCAAAACTAACAACAAAAAGGATTTGACAATTTATTTTGTTCTCCCAACCTAATATATGTCTCTCTCTCTCTCTCTCTCTCTCTCTCTCTCTCTCTCTCTAATCCATCCTTCCAAACTAATCTGACCCTTGTCCTACCATGTCAGTCTTGACTTTCTCCTCTCAAACTAATATGTCCCTTAACCTACCATCTTCCTCTACTCCCTCCTCAATTTCTCCCTCTCTCTCTCCTTCTCCTTTTGTTTACCCCTCCTCTGGGACGTTTATCTGTCTCTTGTCCTACCATCTCTCACTCTGCTCTCTCCTCTTACATTGGTATTTTAACCAGTTCTCAGTATGTTTCGAATTAAGCACTACATGAACTCTCACTCTCTAAATCTTCTAGTCAAGCCAAACTTTCTCCCATACACTGAAAATCACTCACTGAATAACGAGGGACAATAACTGACTGTTAATTATATACAGTTAAGAATTTATCAGATGTGCCTATTTATACCAATGCATTTCCTACAGAACCTCTCCACTATAAGGCAGATGATGACCGATACAGAGAGAACACAGATGAGTCATATCGGGTCTATCTCACCTTTAAGTAAATAGCTTACTTTCACATCACAGCAGGTTCAACTTTGGCATTAGCCCCATATCTTCCCCTTTATCATTTGATTAATGATATGAAATAAAACGCATACTAGGAATAGTGCTGTTCAGCATTAGATATCCATCACTAGTTTTGAGCCAAATTTTAAAAAATCCTTTGAAATTCACTTTCATGTTTTTTCAGGTTTTTCATGTTCTTCACAAGAATGTTGCGAAATTAAATCAATGCATGAAACTTTCTTTAAATTAGCTGCACCTTTATCTTCAGAAAACCTGTTCACATAAACAATTTCCCTGCTAACCATCCTGGGGTTCTTTGAAATCTGAAAGTCAGATGCACTGACATCCTGTAATTTGACACTGAACAAATATTTACAAAGATACTATTATCGCAAATATGATGTTCAATTAATCACGTAGCTACCGGAAACTCTGATATGTAGAGGAGGGTTACGCTATAAATTGATCTCCATTCCAGTAATGCCGAACTTGAGAGGATTTTCAAAACCCATACATTTAACATAAATTGTAATAAAATCATTTTTCCAATACAAAAGCACTAGACCTTTGATTTAAGGCGGTGCCCAGAAGGGATCTTCTGAAAAACTACCAACGAAATTGAATTATCAAAATATACAATAAATAACTGAAATTCCAATGTACAGAAATTAGAAAAGAATCTGAATTAGGAGGTGGTCGCACCAAGCCAGATATACGATGTTTCTAATTATTTATTAATGCCGTTATATGTTGACTGGTCTTCGGCCGAAATATGTCGGCTTCTTTAGGACAAAATTGTAGGATATTTTTAAGTCCTACAAAATACTGGAACAGGTTAGTTCTACCTAAGTGTATATGTATATAGTGACATCATCAACAATGATATAATTATGATGTCATAAGTTGTATTGGGATGTCATTAGTGGCTATCAAGATAGATAACTCTGTTAAGACAATATTAACACATATCTAAAACAATATCAATATTTAAACTGTCATTTGATATCTTTCTTCTTTTATAAAATCTGAAAGTCATCCATGTTTTTCAAAACACTGCAATCCTTTAACCTGCATTATTGCATGGTCTGATGACACAGTCGACCTTGAATAGAAGGACACCTTGAACGTGATGTAAAATGTCGTTCCATAAGGCTTAGTGCAAATATTTATCATACTGACTCATTTTATAATAAAGTTTTCATAAAGTTCACCACCATTTCTCTACAAAATATTTACACAAAAGAAAACAGGGGTATTTTAGACAACACTTAACTGAAGAAAACAAAACCTGTCTTAATATTGAGCACATATATTCATCATCATACCATTAATTTGTTGATATAATTAAGTGTATTTACTTATTTGTGTTGAGTACCTTCTTATATGTTATATGTGACAAACAACAACATCACCTGACTACTATATACAGCTTGCATCTATTACCCATTTTTGATGGCTGCCATTAATTCGTATTCCGGTATCATATATATTACTTTATATCCATTTAGACTTAATGGTTTTGATTTATGGAAATAAAAACTACACTCAAACCTTGTAGACAAATTCTCATTGAAATGTAGAACCTTTTAACAAGTTATATATGATAAATCATATGATCACTCCTTACATATATATAGATATGTAGATCTATAATTATATTAGTTGATTTATCATCACGGGGAAGAGTTGAGTTATCTTCCAAGTTTAATGTACACACACCCAGGGTCACTCCTGATGATATGGGAAACTACTCACCACATTTTAGGCAAAGTTTATGCCATTTCCTTCCTAAGGCACGAAGTTCTTCTGCGAAGTACACAGGTTTCATACATCTTTGACACCGTTCTGCCATTCTGTTTATAATGCTGGTTCAAATTTCTTCAAAATTCTGTAAGACATAAATTACATCATAATCATTATACAACTTGCTTTCATATCAACTGGGATTTTTCAAGGGCACTTTCCAAGTGACAGTCAAGAGGCTGTAACTTTGATCCCTAGTACAGTACATAGTGCAGTTTTTAACAAAAATTCGCTCACCGAATTTTTAAGGCAATTTAGCCATACTGTGTGTTTAATACAAGCAGTAAGAACTGAATCTGACAGAACAGGCAAGGTCTGTACTCTGTCCTAACTAGTAGGAGTAAACATTTAAACCAAAAAGTTATTGAGACCATGTGAACAAAAATTCACATCATCTTTTGCACTAGGTTGTAACTGTACTTCATTGTAAGCATTAGAGAGATGATTCTGGATCATGAGTATTCCTGGAGGAACTGGACCAAGCAGATCATGTTTCAGCATCAAGTCTGTCACATTTTACATAAATAATACAATAAGCTGATAAAAGAAAAAAAACAAACAAGTAACAAGTAGCAAAGAACACTAGGAGCAGATTGACAGAAGAAAAGACATTGGGAAACTAGTTAGACTTCAATTTGTATGAATAATTCATATCTACGTCATTCTGGATGAGCCTAATGTACCTGAATAAAAATTAATATTTTTATGAAAGAAACAGAAACCCATTAATTTTGTATCTACAGTATATACCTGAACAAAAATGGAAAGTAATATTGTATATCACCACCAGTTTTTATTTCAGCTGCACTTGAGAGAAAGCCAATGACCCGACATAAAACCAAACGTGTACAGTAAACCCATCTTATCATCATTCAAAACAGGCTTTGTCTATACTGGTAATAAAAATCAGGATGAAAATATAAAGGGCACCGAGCGAAATAGAAGAGTGTAGGTCATTTAACTCAGCACCATTATCACAGCAATAATATCTAGTTCAGATAGTGCTGATTCAGAGGTGTACCTCCTTCATGCCATTCTTCATCAGCCTCACTATTTTTGTTGTAAAATATTTTTATTTTGCCCGTTTTGAACATGATATCCTGCTTTCCAAATCTATTTTTAGTTTTAACACTCCTTGTATTTCTGGATTTACATGTTCGCCAGATGTGGAAGCCTTACTGGTGCATGGTAAAGACTGTTGTCTGTGTATTTCATCCGTGCCATGTGATTTCACACACAATTGCATGTTGACACACAACAGATGTAGTTCAGCACATCATTGGATGGTGATCATGACACACAACAGCTGAGGGCAACGATCTAACATCTTTCCTGTTCATCATGAATTATTTTCTGACTTACATGTGTATACAAATATAAATATATATTTCCTGAACCAGTACTTTAAAGTCTTGTTAGCTTAATTTACACCGAATGCAAATATGACATCAACTGCTTCTCAAAAACATATGTGACCTGAATAGTAAAGAGGGATTTTATACCTTTATTTCAGGATAAGAGACAGTATTATGTGTCCAATTTTAAACAAATTTCCCAGAACAGATGAGAGGTTATTGGATTATGGAGATGACTAGACATCAAACAAAATTCTCGTTATTGATAATACACTGTACCTGTTATTGATATCAGACGTCTGTAGAATATTCTACAAACAAAGTTGTAATTATAGTGGTAACACAGGTCTACACCAGCTATAATGACTCAAGTTACTTAAACTTTATCTGCATGGTGATGTTCAAAATTAGTCAGAAAATCTCAGTCAATTAGTATCATGGCTGTTCATACATGGCCCTCTAATGTTATTACAGTACACCATGACTTGGCAATTTGCATCAAGTCTTATGTAATCTATCCCACTGATACTGATTACTTGTTGACAAGATACTAACCCAAAGCTATATACCGTATTTTCTGGCATCTTTATAATTTGCTTCTTGATTTTAATTGAATTAATGATATGCACTACGTTTTTCATAGTTAATGACTTAAAACATATGTTTATTTTTGCGCGCCCCCAGGATGTCGTGAATTGCTGATATATCGTTTAGCGCCAATATTATATTGTGTACACATGTATTGTGACATTATTGTTATGACATCATCGAGCAGTTTTAGAAATTAGATTCGTATCAAGATGATGTTGGTGATTGTTGCTTCTGTCAATACATCGTTTTATTAGTTATTTATCCTCGAAAAACAGACAATGGAAGCCAATTTATCAAGATCGTCAGTAAAACATTTAACATAAGTTTGCCAATGAATTGTACACAGATAATCCTTTATTTCATTGATGTGTCTCCTAAACATAAAAAAAACAATTTTTGAACTTATTTGGCTTGGGTGCCTTTAAAGATTGTCTATGAACAGAAATAGGGCCTGACGTTATGTATGGTTTACATAACAATATCTTCATTGGTTATTTTGAATTCAATCTTAAAATCATCCTGTATATGGTTGCAAATGACAGTTCTAGACGATCTGTTTCAGTCATAAACATGTGAAGGACAGGTACTTGTGAAACACTTGGTATAGACGTCTCGTACTGGTGTACTGGTATTCTTGAGTTAAATCACTATTTTTATTTTTCCTGGAAGCGTGAGATGTTACAGCAATCAAAATTGTCAGGGTGTGAGGTCACGCCGGCCAATAGTGCATGTGATATGTCTTGACAAAATATTTCTATGTACATTGAATCAAGTCCTTTTAATCCTATATGGCGTACTATTTCCTTACCAGAACACATTGTCTACCTTATCTATCTAGTGCCTGTAGCAGGGAATATCACGTTCAAATCAAAGTCAATCCCTTAGCCTTTAACCATCATTAAAAGAGTGGACCAGTCTTTTTCCCCTCTGATTTTACAACAGTCCTTATTTTCATAAAATGGGAAAATGTAGGTTTTCTTTTCTAAAAACAAATTGAAAAACATTCTTGGATTTTTCTTTATTTTGTGAAAATAACACACATTTTGTCTATTCCTTGGAAATATCTTTTTTGCTGTAAAACATGACAAAACGATCACTGTCGGCACAATCTGTATTTATGCCATCATGCCAGTCATGTCCCTTGTAGGTACAATTATTCATCCTTCTGATTTATATCGACTTTCAAAACAAATGCCAAGAAAAACATTGTCAGCTTGCATGTGGATACCTCTTACCTTGATTAGTAATATCAGGAAAACACTAGTAGTTTGTTTGTGGTCAAACACAGGTCAACAAGGGGTAAAGGCCACTGGATATATTCAACATCTATAGAATGTTTAAGTGACTGAGAAATGTTGTGTTCCATGACCCAAATCACAGTTGTTTCCACAACTAGCTTACGTGTTCAATAAAAAAATTGCTGGTAAACTTCCCTGGCAGAGCCAAAGTATCAGAATGCTGATCCAATATGCTGGACATCAGTTTTGAGGCACTCCAGATATTAATTCCAGGGGTCTGTTGTTAACTAGATAGTTTTGGATACTCCCTTCCTGTTGTTTACAAGTTTAATACAAGAAAAATTTTGTTTAAGATATTACAGCAGCAGGGCACAGTGGAATACATTTGACCTTTTCACTGAAACAGATTTCCCAATCAGATGTGATCTGATGCATTATGGGGTCACTTTTCAACAAAGCATGTTCTCTGCAACCTTAAAAGGTATTTGTTTTAAGCATTTAGATAATAGGGGAGTACAGTAACGGTGATATACTAATCTCTCACTCATAGATCTCCTGGGTTTGGTTTTATATTCATTGTTTTTAATGTTTTATCCACAGCAATTGTCATGTGAGGAGGGTACTTGCAAGCCTGCATGTAATAGTACAAAACTGAAGCCAAATTTATAGTGCTGTCACACTGAAACCCTCAAGGCCCCCAGGAAGATACACCGAACGGTTACATTGGGTGAACTAGTCATTACAATACCACAAAGTTGAGCATTAAGCAGAAATGTAAGAAAAGATAAGATCACACGTTTCTTCTTATGATCATGTAATTTGGGCACCAGGTGCAATTCTTCCATCCTACCCGCAAGACATGAAACTTAAGTCACCTGCCCGACCATGTTGGTTTTCCCTGGGTATTCCGGTTTCCTCCCATAGTAAAACCCCTCTCATGCTTCTCTCTACCCCACAAGAGCAAGCTTCACTCAGAACCAACAAGAGTGATTAGTATCAGTTATAAAATTCTTTAATTGCTGTACAATAAAAAAAATTAATTACATTTTTAAGTATTTTGGTTTCATTTACCGTTACAGTCAAACTATTGGTATTACAGAAGTTTTCTCTTTAAGAAAAAGAACCATGCAGGAATCCTCCAGGTTGATATTTTCCCTCCTTTTGTTTTGTTGATCGTTAATTCTCAATTTACGTCATGAACTAGCTACTAGGAATACAAGGCAAGTCTTTCAAGTCTACTAATCATATATCAATATATAATGACTTCCACAATAAGAAGTTTTAACTTTACACAAAGTTCTGTCTGCTGATTGACAGATAGATGGACTGACAGAAAAACACTCAATTCCAGTTAAATATACCCGACTTGTTCTGCATCAACTAAAATTCTAATAAAATAATAAATTCATTTTCTTTTTTTCCTTTTTGTATAGAGGAATTAATTAGAGTAGAATATATAAATTTCATGTATATCATATTAAGGATAACAAAGTTGTTAACACAGAGAGCTTAGTTAACACAGAGAGCTTAGTTAACAGAGAGCTTAGTTAACACAGAGAGCTTAGTTAACAGAGAGCTTAGTTAACAGAGAGAGCTTAGTTAACAGAGAGCTTAGTTAACAGAGAGCTTAGTTAACACAGAGAGCTTAGTTAACAGAGAGCTTAGTTAACACAGAGAGCTTAGTTAACACAGAGAGCTTAGTAAACACAGAGAGCTTAGTTAACAGAGAGCTTAGTTAACAGAGAGAGCTTAGTAAACACAGAGCTTAGTTAACACAGAGAGCTTAGTTAACAGAGAGCTTAGTTAACACAGAGAGCTTAGTTAACAGAGAGCTTAGTTAACACAGAGCTTAGTTAACACAGAGCTTAGTTGACACAGAGCTTAGTTAACACAG